TTTGATTTTCCAAAATAGCCAAACGGGCCCCACTAAAAAATCATGTCAAAGTCAGCTATACTCATTTTTCCAACACTCTGAAAATGAATTAAATTATTGGAACTAATGTCAAAGAAGCTTTTGTTTACCCGTGGTTTGGATCCCTTTCTTTTAAATCAGAATCAATGGCTGTCAGTAGGATTGTGGAGTTCTAGGAAGGATTGTTGTTATGATAAGGTACTGGATGACCCAGAATTCGATTAGCTGGTGGTAATTGTACTAGATGCAAGTCTTTAATATTGCACGTGAAATGGGCCGTTATCACTTTTAGCAGTATCATCGCTAATAATAATAATAATAATAAAACGGTAATAAACTTTTAACTCGAGATTTGTGTTACACATGGTTTCTTTAAAATAGATTCGTCCCCTCACCGTATATGCTTGAGGTATGATTTGAGCGTCTACTTTCCATGATACAACGGTAGAACAATAAAATTTGAGCATCACAGATTTTACTTCGACGAACTGAGTCAGTGCCCGAATAATATCACCAAAACGTGGACACTCATAAGGGGTCTATTTTACTCATTTCGGTCCGATATTCGTGTACGAAGGTTGGATCTGCACACAAGTTCAAGGTTCGAATCCCATTTCTATTAATGATTTGCACCCCCCTGCGCGTGCACGTAGAGAAAGCCTCTACGCTACAAATTATTACACCATTGTAAAGCGTAATCCTTTATAAAGTTGTTTTAGTTTTCATCAACTTCCTATGCGGAAAAAACATATTTTTATTTTCTCACTAACATAAACTCTTTTTAAGTGGTATACTTTGAGTTTCAATTTCTCATTCACCCAAACATCAATTTTGGCAAGTAAATATATGATTTCGATGTACTTACGGAGGAGAACACAAATCTACTTTGATTTTTCAAAATAGCCAAACGGGCCCCACTCAAAAATCATGTCAAAGTCAGCTATATACTCATTTTTCCAACACTCAAATGAATTAAATTATTGGAACTAATGTCAAAGAAGATTTTGTTTACCCATGGTTTGGATTTCTTTCTTTTAAATCAGAATCAACGGCTGTCAGTAGGATCGTGGAGTTCTAGGAAGGATTGTTGTTATGGTAAGGTACTGGATGACCCAGAATTCGATTAGCTGGTGGTAATTGTACTAGATGCAAGTCTTTAATATTGCACGTGAAATGGGCCATTATCACTTTTAGCAGTATCATCGCGACCAATATGATTCTGTTCGACAATGTGATTCCATTCTTGTGATATTATCTGATATTTCGATATCTAAGCTTTTGAAACCCTTGTATTGTATGCTTGTTTTTCAGGTTTCGAGGATATTTAGATTTCTTGGAGCATTTTCATTACACCCTTTTCAGTACATTCGATTCTTGTTTGGAAAACAGGTTCAATATGCTTGACCCATTTGCATAGGTTCATTTTGTATCTCTAGATCTGACTATTCTTGAATACATTGCCCAAAAATGCAGTACCATGTGTGGACCAAAACCCGAACAACGTGTTGGATGACAGTCCAGTTTTTGGATGTGGACATGGTCCTGTTTCTCCGGCCGTTGAATAGTCGAGATTTGTACTGATTAGAAAAAGAAAAGTCGATTTTTTCTCAGAGCTATATTGGATGTTCATGTGTACATCAGCTTAGGGTTGTAGGTTTGGTAAGAAAAATTAGGGAAGACTTATTCCTAAAATTCTAAGATTGGTGACGACTTTTGGGGTTAGGGACGTCTTTCTCTTTCATATTGAATATTTCGAATTTTGCCCTTTTTGGTGTCCACTTGGTGTCGAATCAGCCTGACACGTCAGTCGATAGTCAATAATTGTTTTGTTGAAAGATACTTTTCCCTGAAATGCGGATATAAAGGCTTGCAGTGGGGTGTTTGATTTTGTTTGCAAGTGCACAAGTTGCAGCTCAACTTTGATGCCTACATTTAGTTCACTACTACACTTTGATATAAACACTTGAAACATTATTTGGTCTAAATGATATGAATGTGAAAATTCAATTAAGAAAAGAAATTAAAAAGTACCTATTTGTCATATTTTCTTCAATAACTTGTGTCCTATTTTTATAAGATAACATTATTCTTTATATTTATAAACCTAGTTCTCCACAATCTTACAGGCATGTTCCCAAATGCTTTTTAACTATAAAATAGTCAACATTTTAAATAGTCTTTAGATTTTATATTGATTATTCCATTAGTCATAAAAATTGATTTTGAGTCGAAACTAATAGCAAGACTTATTTGGTTCATGGTATGCATATGTAGTGTGTCATTTGGTCACGTGGATTCTAGTTGACCACACGTTTGAAGGAGTGATTCTTTTTTTAGTAATGTTATTTAGCCTCGCTGGAGTTAGAACCCCAATTTAGGTAGCGTTAATGTGGCATTAAATGATATGTGAAATCAAATAAGTTATTTAATTTCTTATTTAATTTCACATTTCACTAAGCCTATCATTTAGAGCCATATAGACTGGGGTTATAATCTCACTGGGGATGAATAACATTATTCTTTTTTGAACCATTAATGTTCTATATCATTGGCTAACTAATCTTGCTGTTGATTTTTTGAACATTCTAACTTTCAATGATAACGGGGTAAATATAACAAAATTAAAAAAAAAAATGATATTTTAAAGTTCAATGACTATTCATGAATACATCTCCAAACGAACCAAGTTCTTAACATCCACTTTTAAAAATTAGAGTGCATTGAAACCTATATCATGACTTTTTATAAGCTCTGAGCTTTATCCCTTACAGCATTGAATCATTGTTTAGTATAATTTTGTGTATCATTTGTAGTGCACGTGTTTTCGTGTATTTATTCAATAATTGATGCAGAAATGATAAAACAATAAAGTGGAAGCAATCGCGAGGCTCAACTCTGGTTTTTTTTTTTTAACATAATGTGGACAAATATTTCAATCAATATTAGGACAAAATTTTGACCACAAAGCATGCAAATTATTAAAAAATTAAAAGTAAAAATAAAAAAATCCATCATTGGAATTAGCACGCCAACATGTGAACCTCAATGCTCCACAAACCATTCATTGTGTGCACGCTAATAGAATGTTACGTAAAGGGATTGTACACTATGGCAATAGATAAAAGAAGTTAAAATTTTATTCATTAATAATATTTATTATTTAAATGTAATTTTCAACATATATCCTCTTGTATATATCGGATAAATACGAAGACTTCGCACGTGCTCATTTTTTTTCCTTCATAAAATGGTAGTGAGAGCTTTCATTTGAAAAATTCCGTTCAAACTCTTATATGTCGTCAATGGTTCCATCTTTAACAGACTTAGAATTTATCATCGAGCACATTAATCTTGAAATCCAAATGTTCGTTTAAATTTTAACGGATTGAATTGTTCAATAGAGCTCGTTGGTTTTGATATCATATCGAGTATTGGGATTACATTTTGAAATGACAATCTTATTAACGTACCGACTTGGGATTTTATCTTGGGTAACAGAACTTGAACTCATAACGTCTAACTGCTCTCGTGCCACCTGGTGACCTTCATTAAACAGAAAAGTGTCTGTGGAGTTGGTTTCTTTTACAGCATTATCATTTTATTTTCCAAGAGTACTCAGGTGAATGAAACCGTGATATTATTATCAATTATTAGAATGCCAGAAAGAAGAGATTGTTAGGACTGAGTATACATAGCTGGGAAGTTTTGTCCTTCTCCTAAAAAATCTCTCATTCCTCAAGATATGGCCTTCAAATTCTGAGGATGGTAAGGATTTGAGTACACATATGGAAGAATTCAATCAGAACAAATTCAATAATTGAATTAAGACTATTTATGGGGATCACAATATTAGAATACAGTTGTCATAACTAGCAGGAGCCGGGAAGTCCCTTCAGGATTTCAGATGGGAAAAAAAAAAAAGGGAATGGAGTGCACAACTCATATTTTTCATTATAGCCTATTGTTTGCTTTAAGTTGAGTTTCATTGTTTTACCAGATATATTCACCTTGGTCCACCTCATTTAGTTTGCAGTTAGGCTGGCATTTCTAGAAGTAGAACGGTGTGGTTCACTCACTGCCCTTGTACATGGTTTCATGGCCCTACCTCGTTTTTCGTGTTTATATAGCTTGTAATATTTATTTGTTTTAGATCTTCCAGTAGATATAATAATGAACCAAAAAGAGTGACATAAAATAACTTGTATGAATTGATACGTGTTTCTCAAACTTATTGTTACTCAATTTATTTTTGACACCTCAGCACATCATCTTTTCTTAGCAATAGGAATGCTATGGTGTAATATGCCGATGTGTCAAGAAATATGTTATCCCATATGCCAAGAAGATATGATGTGTCGATGTGTCGATGAAACAACAAGTTTGGGATAACGGATCTAATCTCGTAATAGATAGCAACACACTTTGTTTCACCATAGTGCCATCTCTCTTTCACAACGTTCACATTCACTACCCAAGTGGGAAACATTTATGGTATGTTACATACACTAAACTGGACGGGATAAGACAAGATAATTGACTTTGTTACATATCTCTCTACGTCGATTTTGTTTAGTCCAACTACCTATACAGCTGGAGCAAGTTCTAAATTTGGGGAAGTGTAGTGTTCCATCTTTATCTTTTCATTTATGAACATCAGTATATCTGTAGATACCATGGAGCTTGAACAATGTAAACAGAAAACACATTACATTGCAACAATTCTTGTGTGCAAATCTTGTTTTCAGAACAACAATTAACAACGAAAGAAATTTGAAGTGATTTTATTTATTTATTTTTTGTGTTCTTAGGTTGTTCCCTACTACATGGACAGGAACAAATAACAGGTGGAAAGATTGAATAAAGTAATAAAAGAGATACAAAGAACATATTCAGAATTCTGCTGCCAATTCTTTCACTTCCCCATTATTTTCCTCTATTCAAAATGTTGCAGCAGCAGACAGAAAATCTACTCTTTCTGCTTGTCACTGCCTCTTTTTTCCTAGGAAACTGCCTGCCAACACAACGTGCAATGGCATTAGCCCTGGAAACCATAATTTTCCCAAGAACTATATGGTGTCTCATAATTAACTCACCGGATTTCCCAGATGCCTTTTTCCCTTCAGCTGATGATTTGAAGAAATCTATATGCTTCTTCATTTTCAAGTTACCCTGCAGAGATTATAAATTACAGTAACGGTAAAAAGTAGTTGAAAAAACCTCATATCAGAAGAAAGTACCTCAAAATCTGGCGTAGGATGGCCTTGTGAGCAACCAAGACCATGTTCCATTGAAGTATGAATATCAGAATAAGCTACATTGTCCTGAAATTCAAAGCTGACATTAATATCAACAGAAACATTTTAGACGGTCCAAAAGTAATACAGAATTATATGCTGTTTCATTGAACTTGCCTTGGAGAAATGAAACATAGGGGAGCTAGCAGTATCATCTAGATACAAACTTTGTGACTTGCCTTTCTTCTGTTTCATTTTCTTTTGCTGGTTGCTATTCTTTTTCTGTTCATCGAACGCGTAGTTTTCACAGTAGTCTTGAAATTGTGGAGGCCCTGATGATGCATCAGAAACCATAGAAAGGTTTTCATCTTCTTGATCACCATAAACATATGCTCCTCCTTTCTCTTGATAATTATAGTTATCAAAAGCCCCGTTGTAATAATTTGTCGAATTGGAAACTTGATCCAAGTACATAGTCCATCCCGATTCACATCCGCTGCTGCATTCAGAATTTGATGTATTCATTCTCAGATTTCTGAACTTCGAAATGAAATTGATGCAGGATTCTTGACTTGTAAAGAGAGATTTTGCGTGTTGGTTTCTCTTTGTTGCTTGCTATTTATAAGAAGAAGAGGAGAAGAAAAATGAGGGTGGAATGATATGAAACCAAACAAATTACACTCAAATCCTAGACTAATTTTGTCCTTCCCTTTGTTATTTTGCCTTTTTAGTATATTTTTTTCAAGTAGAATCAAAATTGCCAGTTGTCTTCGTCTTCGTCATCGCATATGTTTGTGTGAGAGAGAGAGAGAGAGAGAGAGAGAGAGAGAGACTTACTTGGGCCAAGATTTGATGCCGAGTTCAGTGAGCTGNTTCTATTATTTGTCTTTGTTTTTCATATTGCAAATTCAGTTGGTGCTGCTAAACAGACAAAAAAATGGTTTGCAAATGTTAAAGGGAGAGGTTACAATCTTGTAATTTGGAATAATAACTTATTTTAGGGACAAACTATTGTCATTGGGATTCACAATGAGCATAGATAACACGTTCTTCAGAGTTCACAGCAGTAAAAGAATAACATTGTATGCTGCTTGTCTTGAGTGACATGTTTGGTAAAGTAGACGGGATATAATACGCTGCTGGTCAGTTTCATACTCTGCGAGAATTAACATATGGTTACATTTTTTTCGAGGATTGTTTTGTAGGGTTTAAGAAAACAAAGAAACTAAAATTTTATAGAACATTTCTGTAAAGTGAAAAGAATGTCTCTGAACATGTTAATGAAACCAAAAACTTTCTGCTGAAAATATTCTGGTAGGTAAATGTTGACCAGATGGATAAAAAATTAATTGATCCTCAACTTTCTGACTTTATTTTATGATCATAAAGGTCTTCATTAGCTACTAGCATTTGTCTTATTTTCTTGACCAGTAAAGTCTTTCCCAAGGCATGCATAGATCTTTATGCCAATAAATTTCTGTTTAAAGCTTGTTGCATACATGGTGTCAAAATTGAGTTAATGCACATTGGCCCATTTTATGCAATAGAATGGGAATGATGTTCAGAAGCCAGCGGAGACAATTAGGGTACATATGAATACAGGCCCATCACGTGCTTCTTGTAACATGTATATATATGTGTAATTCGTACGAAAATATTGATAACGGGACTTGACCGCGTAATACATATTTTACACGTCTCTTTTTCTAGTCGAGCCTAGTAAATATCTCATGTAAACCTTGAGTTTTGAGAAGATTATAAGTTAAACGAGAGGTGATAAATAAATAAATAAATAAATAAAGAAAATATCGCCTCTACAATGAGGTAAAACGTAGATGACATAAGCCTAAATTTAATAGAAATGACTATAGGGTAAACATCTGGGCCAGCTGGTCCCGGTACCTAATTTCATTTGTACATGCTCTATGCCGGCTACTTGCATGCCTTCAACAAAATCAATCTCCATTTCTACCTTATTTGTTGCTATGGTTGATCCATTCAAAATATCAGTTCGAAAAGGTGCGCATGTCATTACACATGGATTTTTATGTGTCCATAGTCTTTTGTACATTACAAAAAGTCTAATTTGTTGTAGTGTCTTTCTCTAGAATTAGATTGGAGCTTTATAAAAAGGTTAGATTAATCTAAATCTTCACTATCATTTTGTATACTCCGATGCATCAATTTTGTATTAGAGAACACTCGTGTTCGTAATCTTGACATCTGGGAGATGGGTTATTGTTCGCAAAATTCAAATGGCGAAAATCAGGCAAAGTAATGAATTAGTATAACTACATTTATGAGTGATTTGTTGACACATTAACTAATAGAAGAATAAAACTATTTGTACATTTCCCTTTAACACTTGGATGACAAATGAATGATGTGGCAGTTTTATAATAGTTGGATTAAATGTGTGAGATATGAAATGTGGTGTAAGATTGTGCAACTGTAAATTTTGCAAGTCAGGATGCAAAGGGAGGTGTACATGTAGCAAGAGTGCTAATAGAAATGGTACAACTACATCAACAATCAGAGGTGTTGAAGCAATAGATATACAAATTCTTATCATGATGGCTTATCTATCACTAAGACGTAGTGGTTGACAATTTGACAAAGGAGAACTTTGCAGACGACAATATCCCTTTCATCTCACTCAATCTTGATTGGCGAATAGCTGGATACTATATGACCTTACGAGGTTTGCACCAATCTTAGCTTCTCAAAGGTCCCTTGAAAATGTAAGGTGAAATGGCAGCATATAGGCATCAACTTTTGAAATTGACACTGTTCCATTAGTCTGCTTTTACGTCAGGACATTTTTTAACATCTTGTTCCTTTAGTCACAAACAAGAACCTTAGCTTACATCAATTGAGTCAAGTCCCTATCCCCTATAAATATAATATATTATGAAATTTGAGGCATTCTTCTTCACAATTAGACATTGTATGTATAACATTATACGAGAACTTTAGAAACAAAGGAGATATATTAATTTTTCACAAAAAGATCGACCTCATTGAATATTTTGTATGTACATTTTGAATTTTCTTATAACTCGTTTCTTTGTGTTGTGCGAGAAATTTTGAGTGATGCTTTATTGCTATTAATTTTCCCACTCTTTGTACCTGAAAAATAAATTACTCTTAGTTTTAAACATGATTTTATTTTTCTAAATTACTTTTTTTTTTTTTTTGACAGATTGAGACTCTAATCCCACAAATTTGGATTAACTTAAAAAGATGCTTCTAAACTTTCATTGAACTTTAATTTTATTTTTTATTTTTCAAAAGTTTTTGTACTTTCAAGTTTTAATGTTACTTCTCATCCACCACTCCCTCTCTTACTATCCTTCCATTTGGTGACAAGCAGAATAGTTAATTCTCAAACAATTTGGAGTGTCGAATAGAAAAACAATGTTAAAAGTAAAATGACCATTCAAAAAAATCTTAAAATTCACTAATTTAAAAGTACCTTCACTACTACAAAAACGTTTAAAATTCGATATCAGTTAAAAACAATGTTGAAACTATAGTACCAAGTGGGATTTTCAATGTTACAAGTTGAAAAATAAAAATACAAATAAGGAGAGTAAAAATTCTTTTGCTCAATAATGCAAAGGCATCAGAGCAGTTAATGTTTAAGTAGACCTGACAACCCACCCCCTTCCCCCAATTCCCACCACCCGACGCATATACACAGTACCGGTGTCCTTCTCAGAGTGACAGCCAAAATTGCATCCAATTCCAAATATACTCATAGGATTTGGTTAAGAGAGATTTTGTGTTCAACCAAAAGCCTATCAGTTTTCGAACTGACAGATACTACAATTGAAACCTTAGCTTATTCCATCTTCAAATATGGACACAAATATTTGTACTGTTTTCACCCCTTATTGCCCTTCACTGTGATACTTTTCTCACTGCCATGGCCCGCACCCGAACCGTGCTAGAAAAATTAAATTTATTTTTCTTCGTTTATACTGTCCGATGACCTTCGATGGTTATTTTTCTATACAATGGTGAAAACATGAATGGTTCTAAATTAATTTTCTACCTTCTTCATGGTAGAGTTTAATTAGGCTTAAGAATTGAAGGAAAAATAGTCCATAAGATGTTTCTAAGATAGAAGTAATGGAAATTTTTTCCGTCGTTCCACCTTGAAAGGGGTGGGGGAATCCCTAAGTCGAATGGAGGATGGGACCGGAGAACATGCTCCCGCCTCGAATTTCTCGATCCCACCTCAAATATGTTTATTGTATTTTATTTTTTTGTTTGAAAAATAAAAAATAATTCAATAATTAAAAGAGATGAAAATAAGTTTATTTTAATCCTCCAAAATTCTCAACTGAGGTGGGGATAGGAAGGGCAGCCATGTCCCGTTGCCACATAGAGCCTCCGGTACCCTTGCTTTTCAACTTAAGAAGGGGTAGATAAAATATTTCGAACACCAAGCGCTATGGTACTAAGTAACCCACGTGATCGACCTTTAAACAAGAGTAGATGTACCCAAAATCTATAAACGTAAATAATTAGAGTATGTAGAGGCACGATAGAACACTTCAAGGAACTCTACATGATAGCTCATGACTTTTGGAAGAATGAATAGTCTCCTCACAATGAGATTCACATTGATCAAACCCAGACTACTATTTCATAAAATGCAAATATTAATAATTATATCAAAGTAATTATTTATGATGAAGAATTTATCATTTATTATTCTAATTTAATTTACACCAATAACTAAGAAAAATTGAAATGTACAGATTAAACTGCTTTTAAACAATCAAATATTACATCATGTGACTACTTTTTTTTTCCTTTTTTTGAAAAAATTGAATTATAATATTTGAAGTGAAGAAGAATGCATGATAAAATGTCAAAAGTGAGGTGGACCAGCATCTATACTGGCTGCGAATAGGTTGAAGTCAAGAGCCACACGTGTGTTGTTTCAAATCCATGTGCCCAGATTCTTGTCCCCATCTTTTTTATGAGTTTTGCTATTCGTTCAAGGTGACGTGGGCCATGGATGAACAACGGCGCATGTGACGCCCTTTACGCGGCCCCGTCGCTCTAAAAAAACCCTTTTTATTAAGATTTTGCATATATATCCCTACATTCTCAATTGCTGTAAAATTTGTTATTTTTTTCGAAAGGTGCTCAAAAATATTACTTTTTTTTTTTGTGTGCAATATTCAAATTACCCTTATAGATACATTTTTAGGTGTACTTATTGCTCATCAATGCATGCATTTAATGCTAATTAATACCACAATTTGATGGTTGACTTGTGTAAAAAAATAAAAATGAATATACCTAATATATAATGGATAATTGAATTGTTAACCAAAAATTAAATAATAAAAATTATTTCATAATCTTTTGCTAGGTGGATGTGTGAAAATTTCTCTATTCTTCATGGTAAACACAAGAAGAACGTACTTTTGGATAGGGGTGTAAGCGGTTCGATTTTATCGATTTTTGAGAGATTTTCAAACCAAATCGTTTAAACCGATTTGAGA